TGGATATCCCTGGGAGACTGCCTTTTTTTTTTTTTTTTTAAGGGAAATGAAGGAGGAGTGGCTGGGAGGAGAGGGAAGGTGGGGGAAGGGACTTAGAGGAATGGAGGGAGGGGAAACTGGTCAGAATGTACTGTATGGGAGAAGAATAAAAGAGAAAAAAGAGGAGGAACTCTCTTTTGAAGCAAAAGGAACAGCATACAGTTCTCCCTGCAGCCGGCAGCTGTCTCCTGCAGCATTCCAGCAGTGCTGGTTCTGTGACGCCAGCACCAACTGATACCCTTCCCCCTGCAGTGCTCACTGTGTTGAGGAGCGCTCAGCCCGGCACCCTCCCAGGACAGCTCCAACTCCAATCTACCACATACCTGCTTCCTAAACTGGGAACGAATCCTGGAGTTCCTCTGCTGTCTCCTCCATCCTCTCCCCCTGCTCTCAGCTGCTACTTGCTACTTTTCAAACTACATCAAAGTGACAGTTTGTCTCTTTGCAAAGGACTCAATAAATAAGCATAAATGACCTGATTTGATATGATCTGTGCCTGACCTCGTTCCTCAGGGAATCTTCTGCCAAGAAATGGGAAATAGATAAGAAAGCACCTGTCCTTTGGGCTGTGTGGGTGCCACCTCCTCTAGGAAGCCTTCCAGATAATCTACTATCTATCCATCAGACTGGAGTATATGGTCTTCCTTTGATGTAAAAAAAAACCACTAATACTTACCTTTACCACAAAAAAGTATAATTCTGTCCCATAAAAATGGGTGTACTGTTTTGAGCCCCCCTCTATATGGGGACTTAATTACCTGGATTCCCAGGACTTACCATATTATCTGGTACAAAGGGCAAAGAGAGTGGATATTGTTGAATGAATGAATGAATGAATGAATGGGTGGGTGGGTGATATGGTGAATAAGGACCAGAAGAGACACACATAAATCATGCTGTGGAGAATCAGGTGAAGGTGCCACTGATTCTGCTACTGGGGTGAGAGAGACAGTGCAAGGAACCCTTGGATCTGTCTTGAGTGATGAGTTGGAAGGGGGGTGGGGCGGGCTGCTGTTGTAGCTTAGTGTTAGAGTACATGGTCAGCCTGTGTGACATCCTGGGTTTCATCCGCCAAAGAAACAAAAAACAAAGTTAAAAAAAAAAAAAAAGCAAAAGCCGAGTTGGCATTTCCTTGAGACTGCTGTGGAGAAGGGTGTCCCAAGGTGAAGGGGCGGCGGTGTGAGTGAAAGCAGAGAGGTGAGAAGGCGCATGTGGAGCACCACGGATGACAGCCACAGAGGACAGCACGGGCAATGGCAGCGCTGCCAGAGACGACCGCCTGGCACGACTCCAGAGCAGCTCTGAGTGGGAGGAAGTGGGACAGGTGTGGCTGGAGAGATCTCAAACAAGTTTCAAAGGGCCTGGAGCTGACACCAAGGAGTCCGAAGCATGTCACTGAAGTTTGCAAGCTGAGTAATAACACAGCCAGATCGCTAAACAGGAGAAAAATATTTGTTTCCCTTTCAGTGACTAAAGAGCCCAACTTCCTCTCTTTTTGCATGTCTTGACCCTTCACGAGCAGGGACAAACAGAGTCCAGCTGCAGCAGCCATCCTCCCTGCAAAGCGAATCTGGGTTTCTCCTCTTGCTCTCTGGCAAGTGGCTTTGGTGGAGTGAAGGCATCATGCGCAGCTGGGAAAACAGGAGTTTGTTTGGCTCGGAGCAATGTGGGGAGTGCTGGTCTGGGCAGTGAGTCAGCTCCTTCCTGAAAGTCTAGGTCAAGGGAGTCCACACCACAGCCTTGTTTACCGGTTCTTGCTCTCACTGTCCAGAGCATTGATTCTGATTACTGCAAAGGTGTATGTGGTCACTGTTGGCCTAAAACCCTGCAATTCAGTTAACGAGATCGTTATGACCAGGACAACGGCGACCCCGTTTTAATACTCCAGTTCATTTTGAAAGAGCTGGAGGAAGAGAGGAGCGTTGTGTTCTCGGGGCTTGTGTTCCTGGTTGACCACAGTCATGTGTGGGATTGCTGGGAATGATTCTGCAAGCTGTTTGCTGGGCTGGCAGATTTGGAGGGGAGATGATGAGTGACCTGTCTGAAGCAACTCCTCCAGCCCAGACACATGGGGTGACAGCCAATCAATCAAGCCGGCTGAGGTCTGCTCCCAACCAAGCTCTGTAGACACTGGGATGCCAGGGTGAATAAGACAGTCTCTACCAGAGTCTGGGAACTAGGCTGAAAACTCACTGAAGGGAGGCTTCGGCTCTTAACTGTTTACATCCCCCAGACTGCCTACAACAGTAAAAATACCAAATGTCGAAATAAACAGGTAGAATTCAAGTTTGCACAGGTACTTACAAGCACCTGTTATTAGCCAGTGTGTACTAGGTACTTGAGCAGGACAGCACCCATACTCTCAAACTGCCCACAGCCTTGTGAGGAGAAATACCAAAGTACTGTTCTGCCTGTATTAGTGGGAGCATCTAGAGAGCCCTGGAGCCCCCACTGAATGCCTCCAAGTGGATCTTCCTCTGGAAACCATAGATCTCACTACTAAATGTTGAACAGCCAGCATCAGAGAGATTCCAGAGCTTTCCTCTATCACTACACCCATTCTGACTGGTGAGCTCCCTGCTTTTCCAACGATAACATCTGTGTGTCTGTGTTTCAGGCAATAGTGGGGGTACAAGCCATTCCTCATGGGGCCAGAGACAGTGATCTGAGGAAGGCGGCTGTTAGATGCTCAAGGAGAGTCCGTAGCCTCCCCCAGAACCCCAGAAGCAGAAATATTCCATCCAGTCTGCTCCAAGCTCCTCCCGGACTAGCATGAGCATTGTTCACACTCAAGCCTCAAGGAAGCATGTGAGGCAAGAGGCTCCAGCATCCTCCTCTGAAATAATTAGAATCTAGAAACAGAAAATGAATGTGAAATGGCGTGATGCATTTCCATTTTAAGAGCTGATTTACCATTCTGAAAAGACGATCTGATTGCGATAACCTCTATTGTATTCTAATACTTTTGTTAGTTTGGAATAGCAGTCCAGCTGGTTGCTGTCAGACAGCGCAAGTGGCCTGGCCTCGGGTCACCTGTGATCAATCGTGATGCAGGCCTGCTTTAAACATACTTAGGGCCCACCTCACAGAGGAGAGGGGAGTGCTTCTGTCTCGGTCGCTTGCAAACGGGCTGCTGAGAACTTAGAACCACCGTGGGATCTTTGCCAGTCTGAAGAAGAGAAAGGAAGAGAGGGATCCGGCAGGAGTAAAGAGGAGTGTGGTACAGGGAGTGGGGAGAGGAAGGCCTTCTCTCAAACTTCCTCAGATCTTCAGAGTACAGGTTTGTATAATGCTCAGGCTGGAGGGGCAATTTGTACCATGAGTGCATCAGGCATTTCCCAGACGCTTCCTCGGTGAGGACCACAATGGTTTCCTGGATATGTGTGAACTCTTCTTGGCTCAGATTTTATAAGGAAAAAGAAAAGAAACAAATTAGACGTGTCAGTGTTCTGCAGCTATGATCAACTCTGGCTTCTTAAAATCTCCGCTGGGCTGACGAGACCCTGCTGCTGGCTCTGTTCCTGCACTCGGTGCTTGGCAGGAGAGTTCTTGTAGTAGCTCATCAGCTTCCACCTCCTTCCCCTCTTGGTTTGCTCAGTTCTCAAACAGACCCCGCACTCCTTGGCATCTCCAAGGCTGTCCCCTCCATGGGACAGCCTCTGCTTGGTTTTCCTGTCTCGGGAAGGAAGGTCTCCTTTTCTGGGTGGTTTTCCTCATCCCCCTTTGCCCTCTAGGTATGGAGCCTTCAGTCCTGGCCGGAATCTGCTGAGGAGAGGCATGCCTCAGCCTCCTCTGGAAATGTGTGCAGGTAGAGGTTTCCTCATGAACGTTGGACTGATTGTCCCCGGAAGGGGAAGCATTGTCTGCTGAGCTCCTGCAAACCTGTGTAACCTTCAAAGGCCAGAGTCCCAGTGGGCTACACTGCCCAAGCTGTTGTCCTTGGGCTGCCTTCTGCTCCCAGTCTGCCTGTGCTCTGATCGTAGAGGAATGGGGCCTCTGCCTCCTTCTGGAAGTGGAGGGGATGCAGGCCGACCTGGATGTTCATTTCATTTGAGTGCTCTTACTGTCCACAGTTAAAGGTTTCCAGGGTCCAGAATCTCTTCTATGGCTGTTTCAGACTGGTGATGATGGAGCTTGCTAAAACAGAGTGCCGAGAGGAACAAAGCTGGAATAAGGGGTTCTTCATATTGAAAGCCCTGTTGTTAAGGTAGCTATAGGCCAAGTACAGAGTTATTTAAGGTGTATCCTTTTTATATGGTAAAGCAAATTCGAGAAGCCCCCCCCCCAAGGAAGAAGAATGCAGGATCAGCAGTCTGGGGAGCATGTTTTGAAGAATTTACCACCCCAGAACATTGTAGCCACCACAGAGGATGACCGTATCCACTGGCTTATTAAAGGTGCTGTTTGAATGCTTCTTGGAGAAGGGAGACCGGAAGCACCCTGGAGCTCTCCGGGTGAACAGAGGACAGCATTTCAGATAAGGTGCGGAGGAACAAGAGCCACACCCCAGAGGTCTAAGTACAGTTTATTATGCTGCAATCCCCAGAGATCTGGGGTGGGGGTGGGGAATGACCCGGAGACTTGAGTAGCATTTGGCAGAAAAGGTAGACATGGCTTCAGATGCAAGTGTGGAGAAGACAGTGTGAAGGAGGCAATGAAGGAAAGCGACCAGAGCAGACAGGACAGCGGAGTTTAGGCTCCAGAACCTAGCAGCAAATTGTTCAACACAAGTGCTGTGTAACTGGGTGGCTTAAGTCATAGGTTGTTGAGTCAGACACTGTTCAGTGTCCTAGGGGGTCACAACAAAGTACCACAGACTGGGCGACTCAAATGTCAGAAATGTATTGTCTCACAGCTCCGGAGGCCAATCTAAGATCAAAGTCCCGGCTGGGTTGGCTCCGTGCAGGGCTTTGAGAGAGAGACTGTTCCCACTTCTCCTGTGCCTGTTGGCTTTCTGGCAGTCTCTACATTTCTTGGCTTGGAGGCGCTTTACAAATCTCTGCCTTCATCTCTACCGGCGTTCTCCCTGTGCGCATGTCTGTCTCCGCAGCGATCAAGCCTTAACCGTGTGGTCTTCAAATATCCCTCTTCTAGATAAGATCAAATTTGCCTAGGCTAGGACTTGCACATCTGTAGAGGGAGGGTCTCCGGTTACACCCACAGCAGGCTTTCGGGTGAATTCCTCTACTTCTTGGCTGGGTGTGCCTGGAAGCATCACTGACCAGGTGTCTTGAAAAACTGTTGCCTTTCCTTTCAGCCCAGTTACTTGTCTGTAATTGGACAAAGAGTGTTTCTTTGTTTTCAGACACTCTCTTACTATGTAGTCCAGACTGACCTTGTGCTCTCTATCCTGCTTCTGCGCATGCACACACACACACACACACACACACACACACACACACACACACACACACACACACACTGCCATCTTCTAGGACTACAGGTATATATCACCAGGTCTGGCTCAAAAAATTTTTTTTGTTTTGTTTTCAGAGATTAGCACAAAGTATCTAGTGACCATCCCTGCTTCAGTTGGGTACACAGAGTTCTTAGGGAAGCCAAGCCCTGGCACCACTTCTGAGACTGGAGACAGAGGCGCCCCTGACACATCCTAGTTTGGCTTGTTTCTTTTCTGCTCCCCCGCCGCTGAAGCCCAGCCTGGCTCCTGAAGTCTTTTGACTCATCAAGGGTTTTCTGCAGTTTCTAGCTCTTAGACTTAATTTTTATGGACTGAATTTTGGGGTGATAGAAAGTAAAAGCTCTCAACCTAGATTTTCTTCACCCTTTTGCTAGGATTGTGGTAAATTGCACTATGCCATGGCATGACTCGAAGCACTGGCATTAACTGTTGTTAATTCGTCGGTCTCTTGGGTTTCCTGTGAGACTCCCGGTGTCTGGGTTTCTTGTGAGACATTAAAGGACCAAGTAGAACTCAAGGTGCCAGTCCCCAGGGGCTTCAATGTCTTGTCATAATAACAACTGACATCTAGCAGGGACACTACCACCTCCATGCTTCCTCAGGTCACATGGGGCCTTCCTCAGGTCACATGTGCTAGGATGAATCATGGGGGCTCTATTTGGGTTTCTCTGAGGGTTTGTCACTGTAAACGTTTACTTCTGGGGGATCCCTACTTCCTCCAAGGCTCTGTGTGGCAAGGAGGCACAGCACCCCCATCCCTGGGCTTCCCAGAGTTTCTGGGTAGTTCCAGACCCTAGGAATCCTTGTTCTGAAACCATCTCACCCCTCAGTTTTTTTTATTTTGAGACAGGGTCTCACTATGTAGCTCTGGCTATCCTGGAACTCCCTGTGTAGACCAGGCTGGCCTCCAGCTCACAGAAGTCTGCCTGCCTCCTGAGTGCTGGGATCGAAGGCATGAGACATCATGCCTGCCTGTCATCTCTGTTCTTATTAACGTTTCCAACCACCTCCCCAAAGCAAACTTTATGGGGATACCTAGCTATGCTCTCCATTTCTGACAGAGATTGGGCTTGACAATAGCAAAGCCAGGAAGGAGTTTCAGGTTCTGTGCCTTTCTCCTTAATAAGCCCCTCCCCTGAGGCCTCAGCTGTCTGTTGCCACAGTGGGAAATACCAGGAAAGCGATAAAATTAGTAAAAAAAATAAATAAATAAAAAATAAAAAAATAAAAAAAATTAATTGTATCATTCTAGCTTGTTTCAGTGAATATATAAACTAATAACTGAAACATGCCCAGGCCACTTGGGAGATCCTAGCTACCTTCCTGGCAACCCACCCTTACACTCCGGGCGGGAGGACCAGAGCCCCTATACTTTTCTTTGTGGACAGCACCGTGACGGTGCCCCTGGCTCCCCACCCCGCTGGAGTCACCGATTCCTTCCCCGTGCTCTCAAGCATGGCTGTGGTGCTAAAGAACACTCATTCAAGCCTGCGAGGACGGTAGTTAATATTCCACATGGCTGACCACCTTACTACCTGGAACTGGTTCTCACCCAGGCGGGGAAACCTTTGTCACTTACGACTTGGGTGACCTTGGCTGACTTTGCCGTTCCCAGCCTCATTTTTCTAGTAGGTAAAGAGGAGATGGTCCTTTAAAATTATGGGACACCATCTGCTGGATTGCTATGAAGACCACCTGACCAGCTCTTAAGCTTCAGCTGGCCCCAGGTGTGGTGGCAACGGCCAGTTAGCTACGGCGGATGCTTGCAGGCTCACTTCTGTCTCACCTTCCTAGAGAAGAGCTGGGCGAGCTGCACGACAGCAGAGTGGACCCCAGCTGGTAGGGCTCACCCAAGGGAAGCGCCTCTTCTGAGGCCCGTTCATGTCTTCAGCCATCACAGAGACACAGCGGTGCTAACCATTCATCGGTAACATGTATGGATATCAAGCCCAGGCAGGACAGGTAGTCCCCAGACGTCTGATTGGGGGAGGCAGACAGGAGCGGAGTAACGGGGTGGTAACAGCAAAAGCTGACACAACTGAGTCACGGTGTCTCAGAGTCGGGGAGGGTGTTGACCTTACGTGGGTCATTTGTGTATTAATATCATCTCCCCAGCCTCCTCTTTTTCCAAAGAAGATTTAGAGAAACCTGATAGAAATGAGGAATTCTGCCCAAAAGACCATCTGTGACTTTGGCGAGAGGACTGGGATTGTTGGGACTCAGGGGGCAGCATGTGCCAGCGCAGGGCTATGGGGGCACCCAGCTACAGGTGTTCCTTTCCCAGGAGAGGACACAGCTGCTCATTCATGAATGTCCGTCTACCTTTCCCCTCCTTACCTTCAGGTTTCTGTTTGAACTTACCTCCTCAACAAGGACTTAACTTCGTCTCCTAACTGCTAGTGAGTCTTAGATCAAAAGAACAGACTGCTACATTTTCAGGAAACTTGGCCGTGCCATTAATAAAAATCAAAATATGTGTACTTTATATCAGAAAGCGGGATTTTAAAACACTCAAATTTGGGGACTAGAGAGAAGTCTCAGCAGTTATGAGCACTAGCAGCTCTTCAAGAGGACCGGTGTTCTGTTCCCAGCACCCATATGGCAACCCACAACCATCTATAAATCCAGTTCTAGGTGATCCAGTGCCCCCTTATGGCCTCTTTGGGCACTGCATGCATGTGGTACACACACAATCATTCAGGCAAAACTCTAACACACTTAAAATAAAAACAAATAAAGTATTTTTTAAATGTTTCTTTCCTTTTTTTGTTTTGTTTTTCTTTGGAGGGGGGTGTTTGTGTTGTTTTGTTTTGTTTTTTGAGACAGGGTTTCTCTGCAGAGTCCTGGCTGTCCTGGAACTCACTCTGTAGCCCAGGCTGGCCTCAAACTCACAGAGATCCGCCTGCCTCTGCCTCCCAAGTGCTGGGATTAAAGGCATGCCCTGCCATGCCTGGCTTAAACTGATCCTTTCCCTACTCTTTACTGTTATGTCCCCCAGGCTATTTACACCTGTCATACCTGGTAGAAACACTGCAGAGGGCTATGCCACTGTGTGCTTCTCTGTAATCTTTACATAGTGCCAGCCTCACAGCTTGCCGTCTGCCCTGGTGTGCATATTTGCACCATTGAAATCGGCAATGGCTACAAAAAGGACCTTTGCCATTGATTCCCCTGTACTAGCACCCTACTGAAAACCACATTACTTAAAACTGTAACCACCTGCCCCCTCCAGTCCCACTAACTCTGAGATGGCTCAGCGGTTAAGAGCACTGACTGCTCTTCCACAGGACCCGGGTTCAATTCCCAGCACCCACATGGCAGCTCACAACTGTCTGTAACTCCTGTTCAGGGGATCCAACACTCTCATACAGACATATATGCAGGCAAAGCACCAATGCAAGTGAAATAAAAGTAAAAACAAAACAAAAACGCTGATTTGTTCTTTCTTATGTACATACCACTCTTTTAATGTGTTTCACTGTTTAGTGTCCTTGTTCTCTGTCTCACTCATTATAGTGTAAGTTCTATGAAGTCAAAGTTGTTGTTGTTGTTTCTAATTTTGTTTTGGTTGTTTTTTTCTGTCTGTGAGACTCTTCATGTGACCCTAGTACCCGAAGAAGTGACTAAAATAGAGATACATCTGAATCCCATGAATGTTGGCCAGTGCTGGGCCTCTGTGTGGGAAACTGCTGGGGTCAGTATTCTTCCACAGCCTTGCTGTGCCCCGCGGACTTTTTCCTGACTCATAGCCTGACCCCATTTATCGTCACTCTCTTCCCATCCTTCCACCTTTGGGCACAGGGTCAGGGAGATCTTGTCTGAGTGTGCTCCACGTCTGGGGATAGAGGCCCAGCCTCATAATCCCAGCACTTAGGAGGTTGAGGCAAGCAGATGTCTGTGAGTTAGAGGCCAGCCTGGTCTACAGAGAGATTTCTAGGACAGTCAGAGCTACATAGTGAGACCTTGTCTGGAAACAACAACAAACAAACAAACAAACAAATGAACAAGCCCATGTCTACAGGATTCTTTCCACTCTACAGCTGTTGTCTCAGCCCAGAAAGGACTCAGCACCTGGACATGAATGTCACTGAGATGGCCGTTCCCAAATGGTACAGGAGCAGCAGTGCCCACAGCACCTCAGAGGACTGAGACGTGGTTTCTCGGGCTCCACAGCAGGCCCACTGAATCAGTTGCTCTGGGAAAGAGGCCCAGGCACCTGCTCTTTGAGATTCCTTCTGGAGCGTCCAGGGCACATCCATTTAGGACCCACTGACCTAAGCCCTGGAGTCATTCTAGGGCAGCAGTTCTTGGTTGGGGCGACTGTGTACTCCAAGTGACATTTGGCAGTGTCTGGGAACATTTTTGGTGGTTGTAACTGAGCAGGAGCCACTGGCATCTGGTATACAGAAGCCAAGAAGGCTGCTGACAGAACGTCCTCCCTGCCCCCAGGCGTGACTATCTGGAGCAAATGTCAGTCATGTGAGGTAGGAGCCTCTCCTCTAAGGTGTCTATCCCTGCTTCTCCACATCCGTCTAAGCCTCCCGCCTTCCCTAGGGCAGTTTCTGGGCACCTTCATGACACAGTGTGTTAAACATCACGGCTGAGAAGATGCTGAGGAGGTGATTTCCCATTCTTGAAACAGCGGGGAGACTAAAGCCTGTGGGTGAGTTGGGATCCATCAAGGTGGATGCATCTCTCATGGTGGTCCATGCTACCTTCGTCTAGTGTGCTAGCAATACTGTCTCATGCACTCTCTGAAGCACCTTCTTGTGGTGGTATTGTGTTCCCCAAAATATTGTGTCCTCTAATAAATTTATCTGGGGTCAGAGAACAGACAGCCACTAGATACAA